CCCGAGCACAGAACACAATGTTTCGTACATCGGGTACTCTTAGATTAGCTGCAATAATCAGACAAAAAACTTGAGTCAGAGCAAAGAAACACACCCTGTTATCACCCTGTACACACCGACGTGTAATCTCCTCCTTAGAAACAATATTGTTCTCGTTCAAATAAAAGGGCTTTGTTGTAATTAAAGTAACCAAGCGATCCAACATTGACTGCAATCAGTCCGGGGTACACAAACGCCGAGGGGACAGGCAAGTCAAACTTCCATCTACAATAGCTGAATGCACCCTTCATCATCCAATGCTGCCACGCACATCACAATCATTTTATTTTTAAAACAATCTGACCAGATGCAGAGTTGTAATGAGGATGTTGTGGAGGGAAGTGGGAGAGAAGGGAGGAGATCCCCTGAAGGTGTAATGTCTCCCCCTTGTTCCTCAATACAAGACAGTGTGAGCAAGCAATGGTGTCCATCACAATGTAGATTACACAATGGCCCGGTTCCAATGAATGGAAAAGAAACTGTCCCCGGACAACCATCACCTTGCTGTGCAGAAATCAGAGGAATCACTGAGAAGATGAAAACCCACCAAACGCCGACCCTGAACCCGGGAGGACCCTGGTAACACGACCGCACGTGGTAAATCCTCCATTGCTATGTCAGGTCCTTTTTCTGGAACAAAAAACATTGAGAGCACAGGACACAGACTAACCTCGGATAAGCTGAGGAAGGTCAATCAATTTTCCAATATCAGGGTTTACGTGATCTGCGAGAGCCATGCTTAAATGGAGTGTGCGGAGTACCCATAGACCCCTGAAGACCGCCAAGAACAACAACTGTGATACAGAGAACGCACGCTACAGTATATGCTGTGCCCCTTTACCCTCGGATACTCCACTCCCTCACAAGATTTTCAACTATGTACCAGCAGAGATAAACACATGGAAAAGCCAGGCTGTTGTCATAAGCAACCAGTCTGGTATTCCCTTCAATGTTCTGAAAGACGATTGGAATCAGAACAGTTTATGGGTCACAATGTTTTCTTTCCACTAGTTTAAAATTTTAGACACAATAATCCCCAATGATCCCCATATGGCAGCACACTGGTGTAGTGGTTAGCACTTCTGCCTTGCAGCACTGGGGGGGGTCCCCGGTTCGTATCCCGCTCAGGACACTATCTTCATGGAGTTTGCATGTTCTCCATGTGCTTGTATGGGGTTTCCTCCGGGTACTCCGGTTTCCTCTCACATTCCAAGGACATGCTGGAAGGTTGTCTTTTTTACATGGTTTAGGGTTTCTTGGCTTCTCCCCCTCCACTCCAGCAGGACTACAACCTCATGTTTACTTTACTCATTTGTTTTGAGATTGTAGTCCATCCCGGGACTGAGCTTGGGGCGGTGACTACTTTACAACACACAGGGACCATGGGGAACAGACGTAGCCCCCCTCCAGAAGGAAGGACAGTGTCAGCACCAATTCAGAGATGATTGGAGGATCTACAGCCGAGTGATACACAAATAAGATACATTGTTGATCAGAGTTCAGGGTCTGGAATGTATTTCTAAGATTTTACTCCCGAATTTAGTGTCACTTTAAAGAGAAGAGTTACCCACCAATTTAAAGTCTTTGTTACTTTTCAGGTATGCCAAATGCCAAGGCTGCCAGTGAGCCTAATTCAGCTCTCAACCAAACTTTCAAGTCACTAAATGGCTGGTGTCCTAGCCGATCACATGTGCAGCACCATGGCAACTGCAATCCAAATAGAGGCCAAGATGGCACCTTCCTTGGCTGTAAGGCAGGGGTGGGCAAACTCTGTCCCTCCACCTGTTGTGGAACTACAAATCCCATAAGGCATTGCAAGATTCTCACAGCCACATGCATGACTCCCAGAGACAGATGCATCATGGGATTTGTAGTTTCAACACATCTGAAGGGTTTAGATAAAATGTGAAAAAAAAATCAAAAACAAAGATTACGCTACACGTTACATATCGCCGCGAACGTCAGAGTAATAATAATAATAATAATAATATAATAAGGGCCATCAACCACTGATAACATTAAACTGATGAGCAGTAAAAGCTTTTAAAGCGTCGCCTGTAGCCAATTTTAGGCATGGTAGCCATTTGCGATTTTGTGAATGTGCGCAATTTTAAAGCTTGACATGTTTGGTGTCTATTTTCAAGACGTGACCCCGACTTATATTTTACAAAAAATTGGGTAATAAAATGTTTTATAACATAACGTAGGGAAAAAAAGGTTTTAAAAATTTTCGGTCCTTCTTTCATTATAAAGTAAAAAATTAAATACCAGCAAAAGAAAGTGCTATCTGTTCCCAAAAGATGGTCTAAAATTCATTTCAGTACAGCGTTACATGACGGAATAAATGTCAAAGTACCGCAGCGCTGAATACTGAAAAATGGCCGGGACAGGAAGGGGGGTTTAACACCGCGGTCAGCAAGGGGTTAAGTAAACCTGTTTAGTATAAACTTTTTTTTGCAACCAGTGACATCTACACTGGGTCTCTGTGCAATGCAGACACATCATAGCTAGCAGGAGGTGCATAGCTTCCTGAAAACAGACTGCCCTACATAAGGCCCGCATGTGATGCCGAGTCTGACTGAAGATCCAATGAATGAATGGGGCGCACCAGTACCATTCATACCAAGGAGGAAAGGACTAGGTCGGGGGTAGACAACTAGATGTCCCCTGGCCAGGAAATGAGGCGGCCTCTATTATCTGACTTGCTGCAGTTTCTAATGCACATTGTGAAGAGCCGATACAACTCTCCAAGACTGAAGGGAAGGCCAAAGCTCAACTTTATTTGTCCCACAAGTGCATAATATGAACAAAAAACAACAATGTATTATAATGTTAAACA